AGCTGGTGGTCCACTGCGTACTAGTTTTAAAGTATGTGCAAAAGGACCAGGTTGCATACTAGTAACTTTTTACGCTTCGTGGCCCATCGGCAATATGATTCGGCTGGCGAATGTGCCATGGTGCAAAAGGAGTAGTTGTCTAGGTGGGCCCATGTTATACAGCGGTGGTCCAATGACAACCATATTTCCTCCATATATTTGCACCATTTTGGTTCCTAGTATTGGTTACAAGGTAGCCTGGTACTGTACTAGTATTCAACCTATTCGCACTTTTTGCAGGGTGCTGCTTCTCACTGACAATAAGAATAATGAAAGTCTTCCTGTTTCCACATCATTGCACACATCGACACAGACTGACAGCAACAGCAACCATTTTTTCAACATAAAAAGCAGTCGAACGACGCAGAGATCTAAGAAAAAAATAAAAGCAAGCAGCCAGCGAGCGAGGAAATAAGGAAGTGGAAGTGAAGCGAAGAACATAAAAAAGTGGGAATATCTTGAACGCTGAAGTGCAGTGCAGTGAAAATCGCAGCCAAGGCAGCAACCAAACACTCAACGTTGAAGTTGCGTGACATTTTTTCCAACATTCTTTTTTCGTTGATTTTCTTGCTAACGTTGATAATTTTCTTGAATTCACTGCCGCTGCTGCATGCTGCATATCCTTGCATATGAGAGGCATATGCAAATATGTTTACATATATGAGGACATACATACGTACATGTACAGAACAAAGCGATTCGCGCATAAAGATGGCTCATAATTGCGGCAACCCTTGCCAAGCAACCTTCAGCTAGCTGTCAACAATATGTACAGCAACGCGTTCACTGGAAAAGTGTATACGAGTAAGTAGTGATTTTCAGCCTGGCCAGGCCAAGTATGCAGACTCACTCGACTGGTAGGCACAAAGAAGTTTGTCGGGAGAAAAAATCTCAAAAGCAAAGAAAAATGCTTCTTAAGCAAAATATTTCGCGCTGCTATGGCACGCTTGTGTGTACATTTGCAGATGCATACATATAGGTATTGATGTTTGTGTTTATTAAAAAAAAAAAAAGAAAGTTACACAACTGAAGTAGGTAACTTTGATATATTCACAAGAATTAGGAAACAAAAAAAAAGCAAAGAATCTCATCAAGTTCATTAAAAGCGCATAGCAGCGTGCAACACTTCACTTCACTTCACTGCTCTCAGCTTTACATACACCCGGCAGGAAAAGCTACTTGTTGTGAGCTAGAATTCTAATGGGTTGGCTTAACAGCCCAACTACTAGAGCAGAGTACTGGCGTGGTATTACTGAGGTCCGCTGTTCAATCGCTGGCACAGGGGAATTTATTTATTTATTTTTTATTTATTACTTTTAAATACAATTTTTTTATTATTTTTTTTTTAAATAATTAATTTGCAATAAGAAATGCAACTAAATTAGGTTTTCATATTTATTAATTATATTTAAATTGAAATAATCATATTGACTTACATTGAATTAATTTTAAAAATCTTAACCACCTCCAACCGGACTCGAACCTGCGATCTCGGCAGCAGAACCAGTAATCAGTTTCACGAGACGCCACAGCCGAAATTTGTTTGGTTTGGCAATTCAAAGGGAGCTGGTAGGCCATCGCTTTAGCACATACTAGTTAATGAACTGGTATTTTTACTGACTGGTTTGTCTTTTCACTCCATGGTATCTATGCATACACCTACAACACATTTATGTAATTTTTGCTATTCAAAATTTGTTGGTCTTTTATGCGCACAGGATACACAGGATATCATAACACGTTTTGTGTGTAAATTCCTTAGATATTCTTGCAAGGAAAAGCATTGTTCTAAGCTGAATTATGAAACACTTCTTTTCTGTGTTTTTCATACTCGAATTAGAAGCGTGCATAGAATGTGAATAAAAGCATAGCTTATGGCTGATTTTAATTAACGTCTTAGAAGCAGCTTGCGATAGTAAGTGTCTACTTAAGTACCTATGTGACAAATTTCGAAAACTTCTCAACAACAAATGTATACTAAATATGTATCTAGTCAACATCGAAAGCTCTTGTTAGAGTACGTTGTACCCAAAAAGACTAAGCACTTATTAAAAACTGCTTGACTCTCAAATTGTAGTAGTTATTTACAAACTTTAATAACATCACTAAAACTATTTACTCTGACAGCTAATTTAGGAATATTTTCTACAGTTTAAGTAATGACATCTCCTTAAATCTTCCATAAGCCAGGTGGGTTCTCAGAATCCAGACTTATTTTAAAGAGATTACTATTGTACTCTTTAGTATTGTAGAAATAGCTTTAGACTTTCAGGAGAGTTTGTTATCCGGAATTACTCTTCGATTTTATGCTTGGAGAGGAATCTGATGCTCTCAGGTTGGCAGTGGCAGATTTTCAGTCTTGGCCGCCCTAGGCCCTATGTGTGTTACAAGCCGCCCTTTCTCAGGGCTAACATTTGTCGTTTTATACCAGAAATGCCCAGCGCTGGCAACATTTTTGGACTTGCTTACGGAGTTCTGCCCCTGCGAGTTTGGCGATAGCCGAGTGGTGAGAGCTGTGTACTACAATTTCGTAGGACCTAAGCTCGATTGGAACGATTGCTAAACATTTTTTGTTTTTATTTTTTTATCTATTTTTTATTTAATTGGATTTTTAAATTATAATTAACTTTTTGTTTTGTTACTTTTTATTATATACTAGCATGGTACCCGCGGTCTTACCCGCACCTACGAAGTTCCCTTTAAACATTGCAAATAAGAATTCGGTTGTCGAAGTTTCCCATAAAGAGATTAAAAGGCGTCAATAATATGTAGTAAGAAAAATTGGTCTTCTTAAATGGATTCATTCAAGATAAAAGTATGAATATGTATTTAACTTTGCCATGGGAGCTATAGTCTATAAAAAATATTAAGTAGATATATTCATTAAAGATGATTATAGAAGAGACTGGCTGTAAGAAAAAACGTAAGGGAAATATTTTAGTACTTACCTGTTTTTTTTTTTTTTTTTTTTTTGCGGGTGGGCAAGTAAAAATGCGTAATGCACCATAATTGATGCCGTCGCACCAACCGTGTGTCCGTAGACTAAAAAACTTCCCCTTGGTGGAAATTTCTTATGTGCACCCTCCACACAGACCCCAATCACCCCTGAAAATTTCATTGATATCGGGCAAGCCGTCTAGGAGGAGTATGCGAACAGGAAGTTTTGCCACTTAATTTTATATATATAGATAAAAGGTAAATCTTAATAATTTTTCGAAATATTTTCCGATGGAAAGAGGGTGTCCATTTTTTTTTTTTGTATGGAGCGTGAGGCACCTTAATGTACGTACATACACCGCTGCACACTCGAAACTTACTTTCTGAGTTTACTCCCTCCTCTCATTTTATATATCTACTATTATCTAATTTGAATGAAGCATCAAAGTTCTAAATAGAAGTAGTTCAGCAATTCACACAAAAGGTTAAGTTAACGCGTTAAATGAATATGGTAGCGGAAAATTTTTACGAAAAATAAAAAGGTTGGAAAGGGCTAATTATAAAACCATGTAAAATTTTGCGGTTTGCACGCACTGATTTATCGATAAATATTTCGAAATATGGAATAGTTGAAATGAAAGCTGTGACCTTGCCCCTTTCATTTGATACCCATATTGTAGGAAAATTTAAAGGTTTTTGGGTAATCAAATTTATCGAAATATGTATGTATATCGAAGTCAAAATGAAACTTGGCACCTTCCCCTTTCCTTTGATACACATATTGTAGGAAAATTTAAAGGTTTTTGTGAATCACATTTTGACCG